CCTCACTTCTTTATCCAGCAAAGCTATCATTCAGAATTGAAGGCCAGATAAAGAGTTTCACAGAAAAGTAAAAGCTAAAGGAGTTCATCACCACCAAACCAGTATTATATGAAATGCTGAAAGGTATCCTTTAAGAAGAGGAAGAAGAAGAAAAAGGTAAAGATACAAATTATGAACAACAAACATGCATCTATCAACAAGTGAATCTAAGAATCAAGTGAATAAATAACCTTGTGATCATAATAGAATCAGGGACATAGAAAGGGAATGGACTGACTATTCTTGGGGGTGGGGAAAGGGGGGTGGGAGATGCCAGAAGAGACTGGACAAAAATCATGCGCCTATGGATGAGGACAGTGGGTGAGGAGTGATGGCAGAGGGTGGGTGGGAACTGGGAGGAGGGGAGTTATGGGGGGAAAAAGAGGACAAATGTAATAATCTGAACAATAAAGATTTAATTTAAAAAAAAAAAGATCGAGAGGTTAATATCTAGGCCTCAGTGATATTCAGCTCTGGCCCAGAAAAGCAGGAAAACCAGAAGTACTGACACCATGGCTGACATCAGGGCCAATGCACTGATCAACAACCCCTACCCTAGCACCAACAAATCGATAGAGACCACGACCTTGACCATGACGCTAACTCTCTTAGTCATCGTAATTATTTTTTCTCCTATATACTCCAACCACTAGAAATCTTTGGGAAGCCAGGTCTTTGAGCATTTGCTCAGTTGTGTCTCTGGGGCTGGGCCACTTTCTAAAAATAAGCTCTTACTTTCCTTGCTGCAAACCACGGTTTGATTTTATGGGCTTTGATGCTCACAGGCAAATGGGCCCCTTTGGTCTGGCAACAGCGGTAAATGGAAATTCTTTATAAGAAACCACAGTGTTTCATAGATTTCAAGGCTAAGTCTTGAAACACCCAGAGTTGCATCTTCAAATAGGTCAATTTTGTCGGAAAACAAAATTCTGAGTAAATTTGAAGATCAAACTGGCTTTATGGAATGATTCATGAATCAGGCAACATTCCACCAAGGTAACAGAAAGGAGCTCCAAAGACCTGTACAAAATGGAAGGCTTCTATAGGCAAAAGGCAGAAAAGATAGAAAGAGAGG